CTCCCCATCCCCACTCCCCCCAAAATATATATATATATATATATGTGTAGATCAAGTGGTAGGGTAGGAGGGAGTCTCTCCATTCAATCCCTAGTAATGAGGGGAAAGGTGGTAGTTTTGTTTTGTTTTGCCAATACTGTACCTTGAACCCGGGTCCTGGGAGCTGTGTGTACGCTTTAGTGCTCAAGGCTATTGCTCTACCACTGAGCCCACAGCTTCACTACCAGCTTTTTTTTTTTTTTAAGTTTATTGGAGATAAGATTCTCATGGATTTTCCTTCCCCAGGTTGAACTACAATCCTCAGATCTCAGCCTCCTGAGTAACTAGGATGATAGGCATGAGCCACCAGCACCCAACTACCTAGGGAAGATACTTTTTTTCTTTTTGGTCGGTTGTGGGGCTTGAACTCTGAGCCTGGGCACTGTCCCTGTGCTCTTCACCTCAAGGTGAGCGCTCTACCACATGAGCCACAGCGCCACTTCTGGTATTCTAGTGGTTTATTATAGATAAGAGTCTCAGGGCCTTTCCTGCCCAAGCTGGCTTTGAATCGTGATCCTCAGATCTCAGCCTCGTGAGTAGCTAGGATGACAGGTGTGAGCCACCGGCACCCGGCTAGGGAAGATACTTTTATTGCTTCATAAAATGGAGGAGTCATTTGGGTACTTATTTATTTACCTTTTTGTTTTCTGTGCTGGGAATGAACCATAGCCTTGCACTTGCTAGGCAAGCACTCTCCGCTGATCTACAGTCCTGTCTCCTGTAACAGAACCATCTCAAGAAAACTTCTAATCACAGCTGTAATCGTAGTTACTCAGGAGACTGAGATCTGAGGATCACAGTTTGAAACCAGCCTGGACAACAAAGACTGTAAGACTCTCATTTCCAATTAGCCACTTAAATGTTCATAGAGTAGTGGCTCAAGTGATAGAGAACCAGCCTGGAGAGCAAAAACTAAGGAACAGCACCCAGGCCCCGAGTTCAAGCCCCAGTATGGGCACCAAAAGGAAAAAAATAAAAAGATACTTAGCACTGGGTGCCGGCTGAGATCTGAGAATCATGGTTCAAAGCCAGGCTGGGACAGTAAAGTCTGTAATACTCATCTCCAATTAACCAACAGAAAACTGGAAGTGGCACTGTGGCTCAAGTGGTAGAGTGCTGAAGAGCTCAGGGACAGTGCCCAGGCCCAGAGTTCAAGCCCCAGGACTGACCAAAAGAAAAAAAAAAGATACTTAGCTACTTGTACGATATGGACTCTCAAGATCACCAGAACTCACTGCGTCAGTATTTGTTATAAAAGATTGTGTAATGAACACAGGTGCTGGTGGCTCATGCCTGTAATCCTAGCTAGTCAGGAGGCTAAGATCTGAGGATCACGGTTCAAAGCCAACCCTGACAGGATACTCTATGAGACTCTTATCTCTACCTAGCCACCAAAAAGCAGGAAGTAGAGCTCTGGTTCAAGTGATAGATTGCTAGCTTTAAGCAAAAAAAAAAAAATCTCAGGGCCAGCACCCAGGCCCAGAGTTCAAGGCCTAGAACTGTTACACACACACAAAGACACACACACACAAAGATTGTGTAACAAATATTCTACAACCCACAAAATCTTCTCACAGTGTTTGACATGCATTGAGGAGCAATTTAGCAGGACGGTTCTGGCTGATGAGCCTGCTATGGTTGGGATCTGGCCCCGTGTTTACAGGCTTGGTTCCCAGAGCAGCCATGGATTGGAAAATGGTGGATAACTGTGAAAGTTGAGGCCTTTAGGCCATACCCTTGAAGGGGATACCAAGGCATTGCCTTTAGGAGACCCTGGTTAGTTCTCTAGGGAGAGTTTGAAGAGGTGAGCCTGGCCCCGTGCTTTCCCATTGGTTTGCCAATTGACGTGGTCATGGGTGTGGCTACCTGCTTCTATGCATGCTCCCGCAATTACAACCTGCTGTAAGAGAATGAGACCCAGGGGCGGCCCTCAGGAGAGCCTGTGCCATGCTGTTTCAGTTTCTAGCTTCCCAAACCGTAAGCTAAACAAATCTCCATTTACGGGTTAGCCTGTCTAGGCTATTTGATTATGCTAATGAAAAGCTGTCTAATAAAACTCTCTCATGAGATTGGCAAGCCAGATGTCAGCCAGGCTGCAGTATTAACTTCTCAGGTGGCACACACACACACACACACAACTCAAATGGACGCTAGTTGCCAGCAGAGGCTTTACTTTCCATGGGCCTCTCTGTGGAGCTGATTTCTGTAGAGTGGCAGCTGGTTTCTCCTAGAGAGAGTAGAACTGCAATGCCTTTTTGTGACCTGGGCTTATAAGTCTCATGCTTGCCTCATCATTTCTGTTTTGAGAGCGACAGAGATGGTCTTCAACATCTCGAAGCCCCACCAGTGTGTCTGCTTCATGACCCCAGTATCAAGAAAGTAGGGCTTCTTCAGCCAAAGTCCCAAGGCAGGTTCTGATTGGTCGAGCTTATGCATGCACTTATTCTCTCAACCAATCACTGTGAGTGAGGTAGAGATGCTGCGCTCTGAGTGGCCAGACACAGATCCCATCTCCAACCTAGCCTAGAGCTGAGGATAGAGTAGGCTGCTCCAGAGGCCCATGAAGAAGTGCAGGATGGTTCTTTTTTTATATTTTTATTTATTTCTTCTTCTTTTTTTTTTTTTAAGTTGTGGGGCTTGAACTCTGGGCCTGGGGGTTGTCCCTGCAAGCCCAGTTCAAGGCAAGCGCTCTACCTCTTGAGCTACAGCGCCACTTCCAGTTTTCTAGTGTTTTTTTTTTTTATTGGAGATCAGAGTCTCATGGACTTTTCTGCCCAGGCTGGCTTTGAACCATGAACCTCAGACCTCAGCCTCCTGAGTAGCTAGGATGATAGGCATGAGCTATTGGTGCCCAGCGGGGGATGGTTCTTTAAGGAAAAAATCAAGGTATCACTATTGGACCGCAATAAATGCTGGGTAGAAATAACAATATAGGCCCACTTCATTTTCTAGATGCTCCAGCCTCACATTTTAATGCCCTGGACTTAGCACTTTCCTCATGGTATTAGTGGAGTTGCAAAATTATCATATGATTGTCACACCTCTACTGGTAAGTGACCTTACTCCCAGCTAGTCAACTAAACTGTCACCTAGATTCTTTGGCAAAATAGTTTTTTGGAGCCAGGAATGTGGCTCAGTGGTGGAGTCCCTGCCTAGCATGCATGAAGCCCTGGGTTCGATTCCTCAGTACCACATACACAGAAAAAGCCAGAAAGTGGTGCTGTGGCTCAAAGTGGTAGAGTGCTAGCCTTGAGCAACAGAAGCCCAAGCCCTGAGTTCAAGCTCCAGGACCAACAAATCATCATCATCATCATCATCATCATCATCATCATCATCATCATCATCATCATCATCATCTCATCATTTTTTGTCCTGTTAGGGCTTGAATCCGCAGTCTAGCAATTACTTCTCCCAGCCCTTCTTTCTTAGTTTTTATTCTTGTTTCTCTGCCAGTACTGGAGCTTGAACTCAGGGCCTGGGCACTGTCCCTGAGCTTTTTTGTTCAAGGCTGGTGCTCTACCTCTTGGGCCACAGCTCCACTTCTGCCCTTTGGGTGGATTATTGGAGATAAGCATCTCATGGACTTTCCAGCCTGACCTGGCTTTGAACCTCCATCCTCAGATCTCAGCCTCCTGAGTAGCTGGGATGACAGGCGTGAGCCACTGGTGCCCAGAGCAAGTCTTCTCTTTGGTCAGTTTAACATCCTAAGCCCAAATGGGACCTCGAACATAAGAACATCTCTTTCTGCCTCCAGTCCCCTTAATCGAGGACAGTGAGTAGGTATCCAGATCCTCATTATTCTACCCTCCTCAGTGCTCCTTTAGGGACTGACAGAGATCAACTGGCTTTCCCCCAAATCTATTCCCCTAACCAGGCCTAGCAGACAGCCTGGCCAGTCTCCAGTTCTCAGGCCCCAGAGACCTTTGACCAGCCCTATTGATCTGATGCCTGAGCAGGCAGCGGAACTCACTAACAGACCCGACCGACGCCATGAGGGTTGTGCTGCTCCTGGGGTCCCTGCTCATGGGCCTGGACTCGGTGATCTCGGTGAGGCTGTGGGGACCAGGATTGGGCCGAGATGAACCTCTACCCTTGGCCTCCTGGTCCCTGTGATCAGGAGGGCAGCCGAGAGATTGTCAGCCATGCTGGTAGCCATGAGGGTTCATTTGGGACACACACACACACACACACACACACACACACACACACACAGGGCCTAGGGCTTGTGAGAAAAGAAAGGAAAAATCTCTGTATTTTGGGGTCATAAGGAGAAGCTGGTGATGTGCAGGAAATCCGGGAGAAGGGAGGACTTTCTTTCTTTTTATTTATTTATTTGTGTCAGTCGTGGGGCTTGAACTCTGGGCACAATCCCTCAGCTCTTCAGCTCAAGGCCAGCACTCTACCACTCAAGCCACCGCACCACTTCCGGTTTCCTGGTGGGTCACTGGAGATGAGAGTCTCACGGATGTTCCTGCCCAGGCTGGCTTTGAACTGTGATCTCCACTGTAGGTGCCCCCTTGGAAGACCCCCAAGGAGTTTAAGCTGGGAGCCAGATCGGGAGGTGGAGCTCCCACAGCAGGTGGTAAGTGGCCTGGCTCCGCCCCTAATTTAACTCCCACAGGGCAGGGGACCAATCGTGTGAATAATCTCCAGGTTGACTCCAAGCCCTTGGAGTGAGGGGTAGGAAACCCCAGATGCCTAATATGTGTCAGGTCTTAGGCCCTTAGTGCCGGGCAGTTTGTCAGCTCCTGAGGGCAGGTTCTGATGGTCTCTGATGCCCAGTGAGTGTCCGGCTGGTCTTGCAGGGGTATGCTGTTGGTACTGTCATACCTGGACTCCAGCAGTCTTCCTTATTTTTCCTCAGCTTCTGCTCCTTCTTTTCCCTTTCTTCAGTACATCTCCAGGGTACACACCTGCAATCCCAGCTACTCAGGAGGCTGAGAACTGAGGATTGCAATTCGAAGCCAGCCTGAGCAGGAATGTCTGTGAGATTCTTCTTTCTTTCTTTTCTCCTTCCTTCCTTCCTTCCTTCCTTCCTTCCTTCCTTCCTCCCTCCCTCCCTCCTTCCCTCCTTCCCTCCTTCCCTCCTTCCTTCCTTCCTTTCTTCCTTTCTTCCTTTCTTTCTTTCTTTCTTTCTTTCTTTCTTCCTTCCTTCCTTCCTCTCTCCTTCCCTCCTTTCTTTCTTTCTTTTCTCCTTCCTTCCTTCCTTCCTTTCTTTCTTTCGTCCATCATGGGGCTTGAACTCAGGCCTGGGTGCTGTCCATGAGCTCTTTTTCACTCAAAGTGAGCACTCTACCACCTCGAGCCACAGCCCCACTTCCAGTTCTCTGGTAGTTAATTGGAGATAAGAGTCTCATGGGGGCTGGGAATGTGGCTCAGTGGTAGAGTGCTTGCCTAGCATGCATGAAACCCTGGGTTCAATTCCTCAGCCCCACATACACAGAAAAGGCCGGAAATGGCACTGTGGCTCAAGTAGATCGCTAGCATTGAGCACAGAGAGGCTCAGGGACAGTGCCTAGGTCCTGAGTTCTAGCCCCAGTATTAGCACATGCACGCAGACAGACAGACAGACAGACAGACACACACATACACACACACCAACTTATTCTAGCACTCTACTTAGGCAGGATGTGGTGTTTGCTTGGAGCAGCACAAACCTTTGCAAAGGTCTGGTTTCAGCCTGGGCGCTTGGGCCCGGTGCTCAGGGGCTTTATTCCTGCAGTTGTCACGGTGTCCGGGGTACCCTGCCACTTCCCTTTCCAATACCACCGCCGACTGTACCACACCTGCACCCACAAGGGCCGGCCGGGCCACCGGCCCTGGTAAGACTCCCTAGTAGGTGATGGGAGGGTCTGGGAGCCATGGTTCTGTGGGGAGGGGGGTTGGGCCAGCCCTGGGCAGAAGCGGCAAACCCGTGACTCCACAGGTGCGCTACCACACCCAACTTCGATCAGGACCAGCAATGGGAGTACTGCCTGGAACCCAAGAAGGTGAAAGGTACGGGTGGGCTCTCCTAGAAGCCATCAGTCCCCACACACATGGGATTCAGGGACCCCCCCCAAACCCCAGCACTCTACAGAAGCTTAGAAAGAGAATTCTGGCAATCAAGAGTCCCATTTTTGCAGATGAGCAGAACCAGGCTTGGCAACGTGGGAGTCTCCAGTTCAGGACTGTGGCTTAAAAGTGGTAGAGCAGCCAGACACTGGTGGCTCATGTCTGTCATCCTAGCTACTCAGGAGGCTGAGATCTGAGGATCATGGTTCAAAGCCAGCCAGGACAGGAAAGTCTGTGAGACTCTTATCTCAAATAAACCACTAGAAAATTGGAAGTGGCGCTGTGGCTCAAACAGTAGAGCGCTTGCCTTGAGCTGAAGAACTAAGGGACAGCGCCCAGGCCCAGAGTTCAAGCCCCATGACCAGCAACAAACAAACAAAAAAGTAGTAGAGCACCTGCCTAGTAAGAGTCAGGCTCTGAGTTCAAAGATTAAGAAGCAAACTAAAATAAACCTAATGTCTTTAAAAAATAAAAAAAGGGAAAGAAGCCAGGGCACCGGTGGCTCACACCTGTCATCCTAACTACTGAGATCTGAAGATCACAATTCAAAGCCAGCCCGGGCAGGAAAGTCCGTGAGACTCTGATCTCCAGTTAACCACCCAAACAACCAGAAGTGGAGCTGTGGTTCAAGTAGTAGAGTGCTAGCGAAAATGCTCAAGAACAGCAAAAGAAAGAAAGAAAAGAAAAAGGAAGGAAGGAAGAGGAGAAGCTGCCTGCTAGTGGCTCATGCTTGTAAACATAGCTATTCAGGAGGCTGAGAGCTGAGGATCATGGTTTGAAGCCAGCCAGGGCAGGAAAAGTCCATGAGACTCTGATCTCCAATGAACCAGCCAAAGGACACCCGTGGCTCAAATGGTAGAGTGGCAGTCTTGGGCAAAAAGCCAAGTGAGAGCAGAAGGCCCTGAATTCAAGTGATTGAGAGGGGGTGGAGGGAGGAAAGGAGGGAGGAAGAGAAAAGAGAGGAGGGAGAGAAAAGAAAGAGGGAGGGACAGTAGGGAGCAAAGGAAGGGAAGGAAGGAAGGAAGGAAGACAGGAAGGAAGGAAGGAAGGAAGACAGGAAGGAAGGAAGGCAGGCAGGAAGGAAGGAAGGAAAGGAAGGAAGGGAGGGAGGGAGGAAGGAGAGGAGGTTGTCCCATGACAGGTAGGTTCCGAGGGGCTTGGGATGGGGTGGCATGCCCCCGCTTCTCCATGCTTGCTCGGGGCGGGGGGCACTCTCAGACCACTGCAGCAAACACAACCCGTGCCATGGAGGAGGGACGTGCGTGAACCTGCCCAGCGGCCCGCACTGCCTGTGTCCGGAGCCCCTCACTGGCAAGCATTGTCAGAAAGGTAATGGCTGGCCAGGGAGCATACCAGGAGGACTGGGGGGGAGGGGGGCCTGTCCTCAGCCTCTGGGGACCACGGACCCCTCTGTCTCCCCCAGAAAAGTGCTTTGAGCCTCAGCTCCTCCGCTCTTTCCACGAGCACGAGACGTGGCTCCGCGCCGAGCCCACTGGGGTGGCCAGATGCCAGTGCAAGGGTCCTGAGGCCCACTGCAGGTCACTCGCCAGCCAGGGTAGGTGGGTTGGGGGGAGTGGCAGGGGGAGGGGGAGGGTAAGCCCAGTGGTGACTCCGTTGTTCTTCCCCCCCCCCCCCCCCAGCCTGCAGCCGCGATCTTTGTCTAAACGGAGGCCACTGCCTGGAGGCTGAGGGCCACCCGCTGTGTCGGTGCCCTGCGGGCTATTCTGGAACTTTCTGCGAGTTGGGTGAGAGGAGGCAGGGAAGCTGTCTGGAGTGGGCAGGGCAAGCCAATAGTGGGCACCTCCTAACTATGGTAAGCTCGGTCTCTCTGCCTCTCTGTCTCTCTCTAGACATGGAGGCCAAATGCTATGAAGGCCGAGGTCTCAGCTACCGGGGCCTCGCCCAGACCACCATCTCTGGAGCCCCCTGTCAGCGGTGGTCCTTCGAGGCCACCTTCCGAAACATGACCCAGCAGCAAGCACTGATCTGGGGACTAGGCCAACACGCCTTCTGCCGGTGCCCAGGCTGAGGCAGAGCGGGATAGGGTGGGGGGGGATACCTCCTATATTCCAAGGGGCTCCCCAAACTCTAACAGCACCCCTCTTCCCCCACCCCTGAGATTGCAGGAACCCAGATAATGACACCCGCCCTTGGTGCTTCGTCTGGAGTGGCGACAGGCTGATCTGGGAGTACTGTGACCTAGCACCGTGCCCGTCCCCATCCCCACCCTCGCTCCCCCTGGGGCGGCAGGAGCTGCCCATGCCCAGGCCGTCGGCCACGACCCCTGCTCCCCTTCCATCCCAGTCCCCAGGTACTGAGGCAGAGGAAGGAGATGCCCGAAGAGGGGATGGGAGGGTTCCCCGAGGGACTCAGGCTGGTGCTCTGTCCCCACACAGCCTCCTCCGGGCAGCCCTCGGCCCTGCCCAGGGTAGGCTCCTTGGCCTGTGGACAGCGGATCCGGAAGCGCCTGTCCCCACTCAGCCGCGTGGTTGGCGGGCTCGTGGCTCTGCCCGGGGCGCACCCCTACATTGCTGCACTGTATTGGGATCACAGTTTCTGCGCGGGTAGCCTCATCCACTCCTGCTGGGTGCTGACCGCGGCGCATTGCCTGCAGAACCGGCGAGTACTCCAACCGTCCTTTTGGGGGCCCCTCCCGAATTCTGTATCCTCCCATCTCCCCCCCACTGGAGGCTGAGCTCCCCAAGATGGGATCCTAGGGCTGAGGCCTAAACAGATTCCTTCCCCCCCCCCTCACTTCCACAGGCCTGCACCCGAGGAACTGAGTGTGGTACTTGGCCAGGACCGGTACAACCAGAGCTGTGAGCAGTGCCAGACATTGGCCGTGCGTTCCTACCACCTGCACCAGGCTTTCTCATCCATCACCTACCAGCATGACCTGGGTGTGTGGGGTGCCCCTGTGGGGAAGGGGGGAAAGGGATCGAGGACCACCCCCCAGCCTCACACTCCTCCTCCCCACCCCTTAGCCCTTCTGCGCCTGCAGGAGGGCCCTGACGGCAACTGTGCACGCCTGTCGCCTTTTATTCAACCCGTATGCCTGCCCAGCAGCCCTGCCCCATCCTCTGAAGCCCAGGCCTCCCTCTGCGAGGTGGCCGGCTGGGGCCACCAATTCGAAGGTAAACATTCCCCCCCCGCAAACAAAAAGAACAGGACACAGGGCATCGGGGTAGGCCAGGAAGTCCCCAACTTGGGCATGACCCAAAGGGGGCCTGGTGTCTGGTGAGTCTGCTCTGCCCTGAGAGTCACTGTGTGTGTGTGTGTGTGTGTGTGTGTGTGTGTGTGTGTTGGACCTGGGGTTTGAACTTAGGGCCTGAACATTGTGCCTTAGTTTTTCTGCACAAAGCTGATGTTGTACTACTTGAGCCACAGCTCCACTTCTAGCTTGTTTTTTTTTTTTTTTTTTTGCAGCGGGGGGGTTGGTCATGGGGCTTGAACTCTGAGCCTGGGTGCTGTCCCTCAGCTCTCTGGTTCAAGGCTGACGCTCTACTACTTGAGCACAACTCCACTTCCAGTGTTCTGAGCAGTTTACTGGAGATAAGAGTCTCACGGATTTTCCTGCCTGGGCTGGCTTTAAACCTTGATTCTTAGATCTCAACCTCCTGAGTAGCTAGGATGACAGGCATGAGCCACGGACGCCTGGCCACTTCTAGCTCTTTCTTTGATGGTTAGAGAAAAGAATCTATGCTCGCATGCTTTGTCTGCCTAGACTGGCTTCCAACCATGATCCTCAGATCTCAGCCTCTTGAGTAGCAGAATCCTTGTTGTGTGGTCTGTAAATCTCCTGGGGTTAAAGGGAGATTGGTACTTTTTTCCCCCTTCCTTACTGGTTCTCCCTGGGCACCAGGCTGCAAGGGCTGAAGTAGGACTCGGTCCCCAGGCTGGAGCAGCCAGGGGGAGAACCAGGGTTAGAGAAGCCAAATGGGGCACGAGGGCGGGGGGCAGGGCTCTTGCTTCAGTCTCGAGCCTGTTTCCTTGCTTCGCTTCGCAGTGGCAATCTGTCTTGGGCTTGCTGTTGGATGAGTATAGGTGCATCTTCGTCCTGGTTGCCCAGGTCATCAGGAAGGTTCTCTGGGTTGGCAGGGGCAGAGGAATATTCCACGTTCCTGCAGGAAGCTCAGGTCCCTTTCATCTCCCTGGAGCGCTGTTCTGCCTCCCATGTGCACGGAGATGCCATCTTTCCAGGAATGCTCTGCGCTGGCTTCCTCGAAGGGGGCACCGATGCATGCCAGGTGAGCCCTGGGCCTGGCTGGCGTCTTCCCCCAGCCCACGAAAGCACAGGGAGAGGTCGCTGCATGGTGGGTTGTGTGTTCTCCGTGCAGGGCGACTCTGGGGGCCCGCTGGTGTGTGAGGACCAGGAGGCAGAAGGCCGACTGACCCTGCGAGGTATCATCAGTTGGGGCTCGGGATGTGGCGATCGCAACAAGCCAGGCGTGTACACGGATGTGGGCAGCTACCTGGAGTGGATCCAGGAGCACACAGCCTCCTGATACTTGGCCATTGTCTCCTGGATGGCTCTGGAAGAGTGGCTGGGGTGTGATCATGGAAAAGATGGTGAAGAATGTGTTACCTGCCCCCTCCAAGGCCCCCAGCCAGGAGCCAGGATACTAGGAAGAAAATAAATGCTTTGAAAAATACGTTCCTCCTTCAGCCGGGCGCCAGTGGCTCACGTCTGCCATCCTAGCTACTCAGGAGGCTGAGATCTGAGGGTCATGGTTCAAAGCCAGCCCAAGCAGGAATGTCTGTGAGACTTTTATCTCCAATTAACCATTTAAAACCCTGAAATGGAGATGTGGCTCCAAGTGGTAGAGTCTTGAGCAAAAGAGCTCAGGAACAGCACCAGGGCCCTGAGTTCACACCTGGTTACTCACACACACACACACACACACACACACACACACACACACGGAGGGAGAGAGGTTGAGGATCTTTCAGGTTCTAGGAGAGGTTCCTAAATGACCATAAG